TTGGTGCCAAGACCAGTAGGCCGATGCACGCGCATGCCAAATTTCTCTGTGTCCAATCGTTCGCCTTTGCCTTCTTTGGCTTTCCTTCGTTGGGAAGAGATCCGCATCTGTTTGTGGTAGCAAGACAAGAATCGATCAGTTTCCTGTGGATGAGATGAAATTTAGAATCAAACGCTGAGAAGGGCGCGTTGGGTAGTTGATTTAAGCCTGTTAAGGTTGCAGGTTCAAGTCCTGGATGGGATACCGCGGTAAAAGCTCCCAGAGTGAGTAAGATTGGGTAGCCCCCAATATGTATGTTCAGTAAGTCCATCTATGCATAAAATTCTCTCATACGCGGCCCCGGCTCTCCAGTACTTCTTCGCCACTTCTTGACAGTGGACATTCCCTCCCCACGATTCTGGGCCAGGATTAGGAGCAGCTCTAAATCTCGCGCCACACATCCTTTTCTCCATTCTAGCCAAACAGGAATCTGAGATCTCTCAAACGATCTGGCCACACATGGTTTCAAGGGCTGCTTGAGTGTTTGCCATGAGGAGAGGCAGCGCTTGGACAAACGACTGAAGGATGACATCCACCGGTTCCCCTAGGGTGCTCAATCTGAATCTGATTTAACGTGCGCAATGACAACCGATCCACTCAAGGCTGTTTTGCCTGATCTGCTCGCCATTCATCTACCAGTCCAGTTGTGACGCTCATACACACACACAAAGAGACATACACACCTGTATTTCTATGCGCCTATAATGTATAAATAGCTGCCCAACGACGCCTCTCGTTCAACCAGCTTTAAGGGCTCGTCTTCTCGCCTGGGTATGTTCAATGCAGTCTGGCAGATTCCATCCAGTAGTGAATCAGCTCATCAGCCCGCAGGCAAGCAGAAGAAACTCCTGCCAAAGCCAGCCAAACCATCAGTCCTCTTTTTGGGCTTTCTTGGCGGTTCATCCTGACATCGTCGAGAAGACAGGTTGGCTGAATACACCGAACCCTTGAACATGCAGCGTCCTTGTCGGTGTCTTTGACGTCCACCTAGCAGCCACATGTGCTGAAGATGTTCCCAAGCGATCAAGCATTCTGCGACACACTGCAAACAAGACCGCAATATACCGCTTGCCTTGAGCATGTGCTGTCTTGCTTTGTCTAGTTCTGCTTCTCCTCTGAACTCCTTGGCTGGTGCAATGCTCATGCATGCTTACTTGCAGCATCCTCTAATCATCCATAAGTCGGTCCTTTAACTTGCAGTTTCTGGAGAGCAAAATGTCGATTGTGTGGCTCAGCCTCGAGTATGCCTGTTCAGTCCAGAAAGTGACAAGCGTGAAGAGCATTCTGCTTACATCACAAGAACTGCAAGCTCACTTACTTGTTTGCTTGTTTGCATATCAAATCAATGGCGTGCGCCTCTGAGTTGGGGCTGGCCTTTGCAAGGTTTTCACAGGCCTCAGCGAACCAAGGATGGGTGCAACAACCGCGCACTGGGCTACCAGGCAAGATCGAGGGCTGTGTAGCCACCATCCGTCTGCTCATGGACATTGCTGCTCGCTTTTAGCAAAGCCTGCACATCTTATTGGCTCAGAACTCTTCGCCTAGTTGCAACTCCAGCCTTTACAGTTTCTGCATGTCCACGACTGGCAGCTAAATGTAGTGGCAAGTAGCCTCCGTCCCTTTGCTTGGTGCCTGGACGGCAGGGTGCCCAGTCTCCAGCCTCGCCCGGTCAAGCCCGGCGCGCCATCTTTGCTCCCCTTCCGAGCAGTACTCGCCAAGTATCGTGCAAGGCCGGCCCTCAGATTGCGCGCTTGCGTACAGTCGCATGTTTGAAGTCGCACCTGATACAATGAAACCAACAAGGTTACCAATACCCTAAAAGTCCGCTGGTATTGCAATTTGCAAGAAAGGACCAAGAAGCCTGGCACTGCCACTCAGACTGACTGAGACGTGAGCTTTCAAGATCAGCGCAGGCTTGATGGATTTAAAAGTATGACAAAGTTTATGTTGTTTTCTGGTTTGCTTTGCTTGGCTTCCGTTCAAGGCGCTTTCAGCATTGCTTGACGCCACGGACAGTTGCGCATCAGCAACCTAAGGCCGAGGAAGTTGGCGACCCGCATCATCAACATCACTGGCCCCGTGGAAAATCACTGGGATCATTGAGCATCTCACTGCCTGGTGTGCTTTGAAGAAAAAACTACCGAAGAACCTCTGTGGGATGCTGGCGACGCTGGCCATTTGGCAATGTTGAAAACACAGGGCTGACATCAAAGGAGTTCCTTCTTTCGAAACCTTTGTCTAGGGCAAGCTGGGCAGGGGGGAATGATGCTGATGCCGGCTGCGCTCGCGCAAGCGGCCCGGAGGCGGGGCCCGTGGCTGCAAAAGCGCAGGTCCAGAACAAGAGCATGAGGTCACACGCTCAACGAGCCAGCAGAAGCGAGCCAAGCTCGGCCACACGAGCTCGCGCTGCACGGCGGCAGAAACACATTTAGGAGGCAAGCTGGTCTGGCCTTGCAGACCG